CATACTTTGTATGGAAGTATAGTAGGGATAGGTCATTAAAGGTGCATAATGGAGGTCATTTGACAAATGGCGGTGTTTTGGTTGTCTTGGTGCTAATTTTAAGTAGTTTTATATAGATGTCGCTTGACCAATGCTTAAGTTATATATTCAACTTTTATTGGAGTATTATATATATATATATATATATATATATATATATATATATGTGTGTGTAATTTATATTTGTACACTTGTCATTGTATTATATGCATGATATATAGGACACGTGCAAATAATTGTGAATGTGAAATTTTAAGTAGTCTAATTTTCATTATTAGTTAAAAATTTCATAAGAGATCATGACAAATCATTATATAAGTTCAATCCAACAAAACCAAAGAAAAAATATGCATTGGATTGGACAATTTGATCAATTTAGATTTGAAAATTTGGAATCCAATCAATTTATCTCATATTTCAAATTTTAACTTTTAGGAACCAAATTAAATCAATTCATCCGAATACATAAATTTCTATTATTATTTTGTTTTGTATACGTTATAAAATTTGACACTTAATATGAAATAAACTTGTTCAATATACAAGTATTTCAATAACTTGTTTTCATAAGTTTAGTTTAACGCAGAATAAATTTTGTTTTGAATTTATAATTTTGTAGAGGTAGATTTTGTTGAGTTTGTAATATATTTTAGGTTTAAATATGTTTTTAGTCATTCAAATTTAAGACAGATTTATTTTTGATCCCTCAAATTTAAAACTTTTATTTTTAATCCTGTAATTTTTAAAAATCTTGTTTTAATCTATCAGATTACCAATAACATATCTGAAAGTAATAAATTAAGACGGTTATACAATATTAATTAGATTTAATGTGATATTTTCATTAATAAAGACACTAATAGGTAAATTTTATATACTAATATTTAATAAATTTCTTAACAAAATTTGAATATAAAGATTAAAATAAGACTTTTTTTGAAATTACATGGACTAAAAACATCAATTTTAAATTTGAGGGACCAAAAATAAATTTACCCTAAATTTAAGAGACTAAAAACATATTTAAGCTTATATTTTACATCTGACAGATTTTTTCATAATTTATAATGTTGACAAACAAAAATTAGTAATATAAAATATTTTATCATTAATTACATAATAATAGATTTTACAAGTTATTTAATGTAATTTTTATTATTTTATCATAAATTCGATGAACTAATTTAAACTAAAATGATTATGATTGGATGATTGGTCTAAATTAGAGTTTAGAAGAAAAAAAAAATCTAACGAATCCAAACCGATTAAAGTTCGTATTAGATTAAAATATGTTATAAGTATAATCTTTGTTCACCCTTACTTTCAATTATTACGCTATACTCAAAACAAAAATTAGACTTATATCGTTAATTAAAAAATGCATGTATGAAATTACTTGTCAAATACTTTTTTATATACTTAAGGTACCGTAGTATCTATATAATGTCAGACTTTTTTAGTCCAGTGACGTCTATATATTTGATGTTTATTAGTTGGGTGCATCATTTTCAAAATTATACCTAACTAGTCAAACATGTGCCACTTGCTTGTTTCCATGATTATTCAACATGACAGAGAGATATATATATATATATATATATATATATATATAAACTCATAATTTAATATCATATAAAACCAAGTTAAAAAAAAAAAGAGAGTAAGTTTTACATAAGAAAAAATGAGTGGTTAGTTGGGCTTTTTGACCAAAGTAGGGCTGCATGGAAAGTTATTTACGTAAATGGGGCTGTTTAGAAATTATTTACGCCTTTAGGGCTGTTTACAACGGTATCGCTATGGGCCATAGCGACACCACTGCCACGTGGCATTTTTTTAACTCCAGAGAAGCCATGAGAGCCATATTGAGGAAGTTGGTGGCACACGTGTATGAAGTGACCACAGTATAGGGGTCAGACTGAGCTATACCGATTACGAGTGGCCAATTTGAATAAAGTGTGATGTGTTGAAAATGTTGTTGCTAGTAGATGATATTGTATATCTATTGTTGTAGATGTTGTGTTGCTTTACGTTGCAAGTTGAAAGTAGAATTCTATTGTTGTTTATTATATGTTGATGTTATTTTTTTTATGTTTATTATTGTGAGCTTACCCTAGCGTGTTTTCCCTATGTGGTTGGGACTGCGATGACCATACCTTGGTATGCGAGCAGATCAGGATAGGTGTTCTGTTGGACTAGGTGAGCTTCGAGACTCAGGAGGAGGGCTAACGTTGTAGTTAGTTGATTGGTAGTTTTTGACTACCTAGTTGTTGTATAGGATATTATATTCCCTACTTTCAATTATATATATTATGGGATTTTTTTTAGTTGTGTATTCTCGTTATATATATAATTGTTTAGTAGTGGGATTTTATTTTATACTTGTATCTGAACGCTATAGACAGTGTGAGACCTGGCGGGTCGTTACACTAATATTTATTATTATTTATATTTTTATTATGTATTATTTTTTGTGTGTAATTATTCAATTATTCGATGTACTTATAAATAGGTTAGTTCTCTTTTAAAGATAATACATGAGTTAAATTTTTTTTCTCCATCTCATATTGTCTTGTTTATTTTCTTTACCTTTCTCTTTCTTTTCATAACATGTTATTAGCACTATAGTTTTTCTTCCATTGGTGTTGCAACCGCAAGACAAAGTTGTGAAGAATTTTCTTAAAAAAAAGTCATTTTTCAAGACAAATATTTCAGGATTAGTTATTCATCTTTCATAACAATTAGTATTTTATCAAATATTTGTATTGTTTATATTGTTATGAATCAAAGTAATCTTGAAGACATTGTAGTAGTCCAAAATACGCTATTAAATAAAGAAAATTTTCATACATTCTTTTGAAATGTGTCTAGAATATGTTATCAAAAGAGAAAGAAAGAAAAGTTAAAGAGGCACATAAATATTTTAAAGAGTTGTAGAAAATAAATAAGGGTAGAATAATTCATATAAAAATAAAAATAAAAAATGATTATTAAAATATATTTATTTTAAGAATAGGTATAGATAATTTAGAAAAAAGACATTGAAACACTCCTTGCTAATTGATATTGAGAAGAAAAAAAAAAACTTTTGATATATATCAAAATCTTTCGTATTATTACTTGGAGCATCTTTATCGGTTGTTTGAAAAGCAATGCGAAGCATTGAACGTTATATATCTCATTCACGTGGAGCACCAATCGTTTAACAAATACAAATGCTTTAACCTTTAAAATAATAAAAACATATATGTTATTTTCATGCAAAATAACATTTATTCAATCATATTGTGAGCTTACCCTAGCGTGTTTTCCCTATGTGGTTGGGACTGCGATGACCATACCTTGGTATGCGAGCAGATCAGGATAGGTGTTCTGTTGGACTAGGTGAGCTTCGAGACTCAGGAGGAGGGCTAACGTTGTAGTTAGTTGATTGGTAGTTTTTGACTACCTAGTTGTTGTATAGGATATTAACAGATAATATCACTTGATTTGAGTTAAGACTAAATTTGTTATGAATCATTCTCTTTAATATATATTCAAAGTGATACCTCGTTTAATATACATTCCTTTTATTGGTCCATCAAATGTTACACCTTCATACATCTTTCCAGTATAAATATAAGCAATCATTTGATCCATAATATCTACAACAAAAAAAATTAATTAGTGCAAATATCTATAATTTATATTTAAACAAAAATAAAATTATACTCACCGAATCAGAAAGAAACGTAACTGGCTCAGAGTCTTAAATCAGACCAAAACGTAATTGATAAATATATATGACTTCAACTGTGAAAAGAACGTAGCTGGGTGGGGGTATATATACTGATAATGTCGCTATGGCCCATAGCGACACTGTGTCGCTATGGCCCATAGCGACACCATAAAAAAAAATTTAAAGGAAAAAAATATACATAGAAAAATAAAGAAATTACACAAAAATTAATTTTACAATTACAAATTATTATTCAACTGCTAATATAAAATAAACAAATTGTAAAATAAAATAAGTAAATAATTTTAAAAAAAAACAAATTAAATGGTGTCGCTGTGGCCTATAGCGACACAGTGTCGCTATAGGCCATAGCGCCACTTAAAAAAACATTAAATAATAAAGGAAAAAAATATATATACACAAACCTAATTACAGAAAAATTAAGTTTACAATTACAATATTATTTAACTGCTAATATAAAATAAACAAATGGTAAAATAAAATAAGTAAATAATTTAAAAAAAAAAAACAGATTAAATGGTGTCGCTGTGACCTATAGCGACACAGTGTCGCTATAGGCCATAGCGCCACTTAAAAAAATAAATAAATGCATTATTTATTTTGTCATAAAATAATAAACGAAAAAAATATATATACATAAAACTAATAAGACAAAAATTAACTTTATAATTACAAATTAACATTTTTAACTGGTATTATAAAAATAATTTTAAAATAAAAGAAAATAATAACTAAAAAAAAACAAATTAGTAGTGTCGCTATAGCCTATAGCGACACGGTGTCGCTATAGGCCATAGCGCCACTTGTAAAATAATTATATATATTTTTTATGATTACGTTTTTAAATAAATATTTTTTATTTTTATAAATATATAATTCACTTCATTATTTTTAAATTTAGAAATTATTTTACTTTTTTTTGTTTTTTTTCTTAAATGGTGTCGCTATGGGCTACACCATTTTTAATGGCGCACAAACTGTGTCGCCTCAGCCCATAGCGACACTGTTTTGGCTCATTCGAGCCCAGCCCACACCAAAAAAAAAAAATCACGTGGCATTGATGTCGCTATGACCCATAGCGACACCGTTGTAATCAGCCCTAAAGACGTAAATAGTTTTCAAACAGCACCATTTACGTAAATAACTTCTCAGACAACCCTACTTTGGTCAAAAAGCCTGGTTAGTTGTTATAAATAGAGACTGAGAGACCTTTAGCTTTAGGGAGGCAAAGTAAAACTGTGTGAGTCTGAAATCCGAAATGGAGTCACTGACGTGGACACTGTTTGTAGTGTTGACAGTAGCCACCGTGGTGGTGGTCCTTGGAAGCAGGAAAAAGAAGAGTAAATCAAGTAAAAAGCTTCCACCGGGACCCAGAGGTGTTCCGGTGATCGGAAACCTTCTGGAGCTGGGAAAGAAGCCGCACCACTCGCTGGCGAGGCTTTCGGAGGCCCACGGGCCTATAATGAGGCTGCAGTTGGGGCGAGTGACGACGGTGGTGATATCTTCATGCGAGATGGCCCGAGAAGTGCTCCAAACGCACGACCTCTTGCTCTCCAACAGAACCGTTCCCGATGCCTTGTCGGTGCTAAACCACAACCAGTATAGCTTGTCCTTCATGCGCGTCTCACCACGCTGGCGCGACCTCAGAAAGATTTGCAATAACCAATTGTTCGCAAACAAGACGCTTGAGGCCAGCCAGGACCTCAGGCGCAACAAGTTGCAGGTACTGACTTATCTTACCACAAAAGTATTTTTGGCTTGACCTTTTTAAAATTATTTTTTTTTTAAATGATTCTTGTAAAATATTAATTATCATCATCTAAGATTAAGATTTAAATTATAAATAATTTAATTAAAAAACACAAGTAACAAGTAACTACCAATTATATAGACTAATGAATAATGATGATAAATTCATATAGAATTTGAAAGACTAAAATGGAATTTAAACCTAAAACATTATTAACTAAGATGAGATTTGTCCACATGCATATATATATATATATACTTGTAGGAGCTTCTTGGTGACATGAAGAAAGCAAGCGAAGTTGGAGAAGCAGTGGACATCGGAAG